GTTGTTGCTGGAATTAAAAAATTCCACGATTTTCTATATGGCAGGCATTTCACGGTCTTCACTGACCATAAGCCTCTGCTGGGACTGTTTACCACACGTAAGCAGACTCCCCACATCATTTCCCCTAGAATGCTTAGGTGGTCTATTTTTTTGTCTGCATATGATTTTTCATTACTCCACAAGCCTGGGAAAGAAATGGGCCATGCTGATGGCCTCAGTAGGTTGCCTCTGCCAGTAGTAGAAGCTGACCCCGCGCCAGCTGTCAACATTCTATCAATCCAAGCCTTGCCCGAGCTTCCTCTTAGTGCCAGGGATGTTACCGCTGAAACAGGTACAGATCACACACTTTCACGTGTCCGCTCCTGGGTCCTGTCCGGGTGGCCTGAGCACTGCCCTAGTCCTGAGTTTCAGAGTTTCTGGTCCAAAAGGAACGAATTGTCCCTTTCTCAGGGTTGTTTGCTTTGGGGAAACAGAGTTGTCATTCCCACCTCAATGAGGACTAGGGTCTTAGAATCCCTCCACGAGGGTCATCCTGGCATTGTTCGTATGAAGGCTCTTGCACGCAGCCACTTGTGGTGGCCTGCTTTAGATAAAGATATTGAGGCTAAGGTACACGCATGCCACATGTGCCAACGATCTCGCCCAGAGATGCCCCAAGCTCCTGTGCATAAATGGGAGGAAACACAGTCCCCATGGTCTAGGGTGCACATTGACTACGCTGGGCCCTTTCAGGGCCAGTTCTTCTTGGTCCTTGTTGACAGCCATTCAAAATGGCTTGAGGTTGTGCCTGTCTCGACCACCACCACTGCAAAGACTATTCAGGTACTGAGGGGGATTTTTGCTGCACACGGGCTGCCAGATGTCATTGTGTCTGACAACGGCCCTCAATTCACCTCCTCCGAATTCCAAGCTTTCTTACAGGCAAACCTGATTCGTCATGCCACATCTGCGCCTTTTCACCCTCCACCAACGGTATGGCTGAACGCATGGTGCGCATCGCAAAGGACGCCTTGAAGAGACTCACCTACGGGGACTGGCATCACAGGTTGGCTGACTTTCTCCTTTCTTATCGCACCACACCGTCCACTTCTACAGGGAGAAGTCCAGCTGAACTTCGTTGGGGGCGCCAACTTACTACGAGACTTGACCGGTTGCATCCGGACAGACTGCCTTCATCTACCTCACATCCTAGGGCACCTAGACAACTACTTGTGGGTGCCCCGGTTTGGGCTCGCAATTACGGGCCTGGTCATACATGGGTCCCCGCTTCTGTGTCCAGGATCACAGGTCCTCTCTCCTACGAGGTTGCCCTGGACAACGGTCGTGTCCTGCGTCGGCACATCGACCAACTCCGCTCTAGGCGGGACTTTTCTGCTGAAACTCCTGGGTCTTTTCCAGGGGGGGAGGGGGACCCTTTGGAGCAAAGGGAAGGGCAAGAGTTACTGCCCATCTCCACTGAGGGAGCCACAGACGGCCCGTCCCAAGATTCTGCAATTGCTCCGAAAAGGAAGTCATGGAGCTTACCCACACAACAGGCATCCACGCCTACTCCAGCCAGGGAGTCACCCCGGGGGCATACTCACTTTCCACACACATCACACAGCACTCCAGTCACGGAGGATACCCGGGGGCATCCCAACAAATCATTCCCCGCAAGAGAGCTGGCACACAATCCCCAAAGTTGGCCTGACCTTACCCCAAATCCTACAGAGGGTCAAACATACACAGAGCTAGTCGAGGAACCAAGTCCCGACTACAACACCCCTAGCACAAATCAGGGGACACCTGAGTTTTGGGAGAGTACAGAAACCCACATGAGCCCAAACACAGAATGGGGTTCAGGGAATGGACAGCCCCCTGACAGGTCTTGGACTGACCTAGGAGGTCCTACAGAGACGCCCAGCAGCGGCTATCACTTCAAGGGGCCTGAGGGTCTACAGCTAGGCAGGTCAACCAGGTCACAAAGCAACAGAAGCCCTGGCCTGACGAGCCCGGTGGGCAAGCAAGCAGGCCAGGCATCGGGGCACAGTCCTTGGAAGACACCAGGGCACAATAGAGAGAATAGGCTCACGCCTCCCTCCAGTCAGGGGACTTATGCCAGTAACCCACAGCTAAGAAGGTCACAGAGAGCAAAGAAATCTCCCAAGTACCTAGAAGACTACATAACATTGCTGGCAAGGCAAAGGCCAGTAAACAGTGGGAGCACTGGGGAGCAAAATGTTATATAAAATAAATGCTGTATGTTGGTAGTAGTTTTAGCCCGGGGGAAAGGGGTGTTATGTCCCGAGCCTTTGCAAACGGCTCGGGCGTTTGCAGGCAGTCCCGGGCAGGTGCAAAGCTGCCCGGGACCAGACAGGCTGTCGCCAGCGCCGTGCGCATGCGCGGGTGCTGGCGCGGGAAAAGTAACCCATTTACCCGGGAGTTGCCTATATAAGGGGCTGCGAGGCGTTTGGGCTGAGCTGAAGCCATCTTCCTGTAAGCTGAACGCTGAATAAAAGAACCTGAGAACTCCAGCTGCTTCTCGTGTCTGTTTTCCCGCCAAGGACGCAACACCAAGACACTGCAACCATCCTAAACATATAGGTACCCCAATTTTGACCCCATGAGTGTGTTATGCAGTGGCGGTCCTAAGTGTGAGGGTTGGTGGTAAGTCAATTTTTTTGAGTGTTGTTCAAATGGTTGTTAAGTTGAAAACTACCTGCATTGGAGGTGGATGGAAGGGAAGGTGATTATGAGTAGAATCCATATTTCAAATAGAAAAAGAAAGTAAGCAAGCAAGTAAGGAAGAAATTATTTTACTTGACTCATAACAAGAGCTCCCACGGTGCTTATGGACTTGTTCCCTATAAAAAAAATTCTGGAGCCTTAATAGCTGTAGGGCTTAGTCACATTTCTGAATGAAATTCTGCATTTTTCTCCTTCAGATGCAATCCAGAGAATATAGAATAGTTTTTATACATGTACATTCAATTGCCTGAATGGTGACTTTTTAAACAGAAAATTCAACTTCTTCCCATCACGTTTTATCTATGGCATTGCACAGATTATTGCAATATCGTATCCCCTTAATACGTGTGGAATCATCCACCAGATTTGGCTTGTCTTTGGTTATTCTTGGGAATAGATCTTTGGAAATCGGACAGATCTTTGAAAATTGAAAATATTTAGTGTACATATACAAACACTGCATATTAGAAACAACTGTGAAGTTCTGCAACTGATGGGATACATGCCATTCATGCCAACCTGAACTTAATTTGTCTTTGAACCTTCTTTTCCAGACTGCTTCTGGTCCAAGTAAGTTCATGGTATTTGTTTTCAAATTCTTTGTTCTTGCCTTTGCTTATTTCCCTTGCTCTCTCCCTCATACATTTCCAAATACAATTGTAGATTTACACTATGAAAACATGCATAGGGTTATTTTGTATTCCTTTCTTAATCATCATCAGCAAAATAAATATTGCCTTTTTCATGGTGACCACAATCCTGGTTGATATATATATTGGTTACAATTCCAGGATCTTGTTCTTAATCAACCACTCTCATATATAGGTAATCTGAATGCATATTAGAAACATTCAGAAAACTACTTCAGGTAGGATTGGGGAGATCTATGCTTTAATGAGGGAAAATGAATTGCAAAGAGAGGCAATTGCGCCAAGGACCTTGTAACATATTTCTTAGTGATTGTCATATATTTAAACCTTTTTAAAAGAGTGTTTGTGACCCAGCACTTCTTCCATACGATTTCCATAAGCAGTAAAACTACTCAGATAGCAATAGCACTTAGATTTATATACCTCTTCATAGTGCTTTAAAGCCCTCTCTAAGTGGTTTAGAGAGACAGCATATTGCCTCCAAGTATCTGGGTCCTCATTTTACTGACCTCGGAAGGATGGAAGGCTTAGTCAACCCTGAGCTGGTCAGAATCAAACTCCTGGCAATGAGCTGTGAGTTACCCTACAATACTGCATTCTAATCACTGCACTACCACAGCTCCAGATATTATTTATAGGATTCTTCTTAGCTCCTTAGCAAGCCCACCCACTTGCTCCAGCAGAAAAGGCATACTTTGGATCCCATCTGCTAAAGAATTTTGGGTGGTGGAGTCCAAGAGAAGAGCCTTTTCTGCTGCGGCCACCATCTTTTGGAATATTCTCTCACTGAAAGTAAGGTCCAATTCCACACTCTTGGCCTTCTAGAAGAGCCTCAGAACTGCTGGCTGGCCTGAGGCCCCACTAGGGACACGCCATGTTGAGTGTGGCTCTTGGGGTAGAGAATTTCTGCCCTCATGTCACCCATCCTCTTCTTTTTTTTTATCTTTCTATTTAATTTTTCTAATTTTAATTACTTTGTATTATCTCTATTTTTTATATTTTAAACTGCCTAAAGTTGTCATATCAGTGAGATGGGTGGGCATAACAAAAAATCAATCAATAAATAAATTTAGCAACTAAAAAGTAACATGGGCATAAAGTCAAGCAAGTTATAGTGGTTCCCCAGTATTATAATTATATTTTTCATGATAATTCCCATGTCAGAGAAGTGTATTCCAAAGTTAGGATTCTAAAACCTAACCCTATTTATTTTATTTTTAAAAATGTCTTTATTTATATCCCACCTTTATTATTTGTACAAATAATTCGAGGCAGAGAACATATCCAACACACCTTCCTTCTCCTATTTTTCCTACAACAACCCTGTGAGGTAGGTTGGGCTGAGAGAGAGAGGGACTGGCCCAAGTTATTATACTGTCACATAGGCATCACACATCTGGATGACATACATACTATTACGGAAACTTCTATAAATGGATAATGCCCAAAGATTTAATTGTAATTTTCATATTGCATTTCCTCTATTACATTCAAACATTCTATCTTGGAAAATGCTAATGAATACTGATTGCTTAATCTTATCATTTTTGCCTTATTTACATATGGCACAAAATGTTATTGTATTTAACAAAATATCTCATTTTATATTCAATCTTTTTTCAGGAGCAACACAATCTTTTCAATTAGTTCTGAAGCAGGAGAAGTGGAGAAGAGCCCGGCTTTTGTTCCCTGGCTAACCTAGAATTGAAATGATGGAAGATGACAACATATTCAATAAAGATATTGCATAAAACAAAGAATGTTTTATCAGTCAGAATCTTACTTAGGTTAAGATGCTGCTTACCTTCAGTTTCATTAAAGTTGTTTGAATGGGACGTGTGTGAATAAATATTGCAACATCTCAAAATGAAAGAAAACATTAACATTTTAGATAATAAACATATTGTGAAAATATTTTATTAATGTTATTCACTGGATAGTTTGTTCTTTAACAATGTAAATATTACCTTTTACGCTTGCTTTTGTAATGGAGCCTGGAAATTTCTGCCACAAACAGGTCTAAAAAACTTTACTGGATTGCTAGAAAGGTCTCTTTCTTACCTCTATTTTAAAAGGAAACTGATTCAGTGTTGATAGCTAATACTTTTATTGCAATAAAGATATGGATGTATATTTCCAGGATGTGTGGGCAAGATAGTGGCCACAATAGTGTGACCTAGTGATTAGAGTTAGACCATCACAATCTTGCGGCCATCATCTTGACTTTTTTTTATAACACCCAATGTGGGAAAATGATAACAAATCAGATTCTTCCTCTTAACTTTATTTATTATACTGTCTGAATCACACATTTCCCCAAAACCATCTTTGATCCACCGGCAATTTCCATAATAAAGAAAATTATTAAAAAAAATACCTCACTGGCCCCATCAGGGATACAGAACCCTCTCAAGATAAAATCACAATACCAGAACCCTCTCAAGATAAAATCACAATACCAGACCCCTGACAATAAATCCACCCTTAGAAAGGCATCTACATATCTGAGGGTGATTTTCCTTCCCCTGGACTTCAGGACAATATCCAGATATCTAACATTCACCTCAGGATCAAAGCCCAGGCCAGGAACACCTCAATTTGAACATCAAAGCTTCTTGTCATTATAAATATCTACTTGTGCATACCTAACATGGTGGCTACCTCCAAATGTGAACCTCTTTGCTTTTGGGAATGAATAAATCATCTCCTTTCCAAATCATTCTGATTTGTTCATGTGCAACCCCAGCTTGAAATGGGATTCCAAATTATTCTTCTGACACTGAAGATATCCCTGATACTCCCCATATTATATTATTTTGGTTATACATTTCACTATGCCTGAAAGGTCTGTGTTTTTAACCTATCATTCAGTATAGCAATAGCACATAGACTTATATACCACTTTATAGTGCTTTTACAACCTTTTCTAAGCAGTTAAAGAGACAGCACATAGCCCCTAACAATCTGGATCCTCATTTTACTGACCTCAGAAGGAATGAAGGAAGGCTGAATCAACCTTGAGCCAGTCAGAATCGAACTGCTGGCAGTGAGCAGTGAGTTAGCCTGAAATACTGCATTGTAACCACTGCGCCACCATGTCATGAATTTCTATGCAAGATTTTATGTACCTTTGTCTCCAGCTTTTAAAACACTTGTCCTTACTGTAAAAATGGGCTGATAGTTGCATTTGAAGTAAAATGTAATTCAGAAGCCCTTATTCTATGTGTGGACATTCTTCAGAAGGTGAATGGAATGAATAATCCTCAGTCATGTGCAAAATTCCCAATGACTGTAACACAAATATGATCTGAAAAGATCATCAGAGAAAGGCCCACTATAATTCTCAGACTGAGTCCTGAGTCCCTTTTGAAGAAGGGATGGTGGAAAAATGGAAATTTTCTTTCGGAAACCTAGAGAGCAAGACCAGTAGAAACAATACTACATTAGACAGCTTAATTGTATGGCTTGGTTTCCTGCATTACTGTGCAGCTATCTCAGCTTATGCACATAAAGGTAACTCCCATTTAGATTTAGATAAAGGCTCTTAAACCATTCAATATATTCTGTGATTAGTTGGAAGACAGATTTATTATTGAGAAATCCAATCCTATCTTCACCTAGGTACAGAGACTGCATGTTAGGTTACTTTCTCAACTGATAAAAACCATTAAAATTTCACCTAAATACTGTACTGGATTTTTGGAATATCCCATATGCTATTTTAAGAGTTTTCAATTTGTTTTCACACTTGGAATTTTGGCAGCATGTGGTAAACACTGTACAAAATAACTTAAAAGGCGGATCTGGCCACATGCAAAATATCCTTTCACCAGAAGATAAAGGGATGAAAATGTCCTTGCCACGTCCTAGAACCCTGAACAATGCTCTCAACCATCCCCCAATTTATCTTTTTAAACTGGGTAAGTAAGTCAAAGATATTTTCAAAGAAGCACTGGCTTGTATTTAAGCAATATTTTCATTTTCTAAAAATGTTCCTAAGGCCCATGAGACATCTAAAGATATACTTGGCAATGAAAGGACTGAGGCTTTATTTATAGAACGATAGTTTTCCATTTATTTTAGTTAGAAGATTCTACATTTAATGTGGTTAAACATATCAGTTTGGGAAAAAGTCCAGTAAGTTCCAAAGCGGGTGTTTATGAGACCATTAGTGACACAGATGTCACACTGAGAGCCCTTGATTTTGTAGAGTTTTTTTTTAATATTTTAGTAAAATAAACATAAATGTGCTTCATTTTCTTTTCATGTAAATGACACAAATCTTCCTTATTGTTGCACAAAAGTAACATGCCACAACACAGAATGCTGATTCAGCTAATCACACAGCCACCTCAAGATGTATTTCCCGGTTTAATATAAAAACGTCCGTGAATCAACCATAAAAAAAGGAGAAGAAACTCAAAAGTAAAGCAATTTGTAGAATATTTGGAACTGAAATTAGTGGAGAATTTCATCCCATTTCAGAAATGATAATTCAGAATTCTAAAATCCTGGAGAAAACCCAGAAAACAAAGAAAAATATATGGGGGAAAAAAAGCCAGTGCTAAAGAAAGAAGGGGCTGTGGAGGAAAGCATTGATTGGGAAACAGCTTTACAACATAACAATTTTCCAAAACTACTGTGATGGAAGCACTGCATTCAAACACTACTTTTGCTTGAAAATCAAAATGAGAGAATATCCCTGCAGGTCTAATGGCATTAAAAAGTTATCACTGGGTAGTCATATACCAGCATTGACTTATGGATATACAGATTCTTGCCATATTAAACAAACAGAAAAGCAATATGCTTGAGGTCAGAGATGAGCCACTCTACAACATGACAGCTGGCAGTTTCCAACAGTGATTGCAAACTTTGTTGATTTGCTTTCCATCTTTCTAATTGAAATAAACAGAGAAAAAGAAAATTCTGATGTTGCCTACATTTAAAAAAAAATAGTTGAAGATGCAGCAAAGACATTATAGGAGAAGCATAAACTTTCAGAAACTGAAGTCTTTATAAGCCATGGATAGAAAGAGAGAGATGATGATGACAACAATGATAGAGATTACATACATACATACATACATACATACATGCATACATACATACACACACACACACATACACACACAAACATATATAAAAACAAAAACACACACACATACAGGGGGCAGAGAGGGAGAGGGTGATTGCAAAACATAGACAGATTTTCATCAAAATGTTAAATGTAGGATTGTGATGCAAACTTTTCCATACATGCATATGAAAAAGGAATGGAATTTGCATCATGATAACCCAACATTGTTTTGTCCTTTGTCCTCCCACAGTTGGCCTCACCTGTGTGACTTTGGGTCAGTCACTCTTTCTCAGCCCTAGGAAGCAGGCAATGGCAAGCCATTTATGAAATCTTGCCAGGAACTAAACATTGACTGAAAGGCACATATACACTCCACAAGTCTATGGTTAGCTATTTTAGTGTGTGAACATGAGTTAAATTTAAAATTGACTGAATCAAAATGCAACAGAGAAAGTTGAAAGTATCCAAAGACAAGAACAAGGAATGGGTAAATAAGAAACTAAATAAGAAATGATCTGAAATCTAGGACTATAAAATAATCTGGATACAAAGGAGAAATGTTTATTCCATGTGCATTTTGGATTTTGTTGTACCTTTTAATCAAACATCTTTTTTTCTGAGATGAAAGCATTCTGTTTGGAAAGATGCAGCCTCATTAAAATGTCATTTGCCTTAAAGATCCATAAACAGAGAGTAGACCAATAACACAAAACATATCCCCAAATTAGACCAAAGCTTCCTTTTCCACCAAGGTCCATGTGGGATTGGAGGAAAGGATGATTAGGAACAGGAGCACCAATAAAGAAGCAGCATGAATAAGTGGCAGCAACACAGCAACACAGCATTTTGGCTCAGTATAAGTTTATATTAAGCATGTTTCTTTTTATCCTGCAACAATGGAATAATGCCGCATTATATCTGGTATCAGACTGATATCTGTCAAGAGAACAAAAAAGGTTCTCTCTGCTTGGTTTTCAAAATAGAATTAATTAACTAAAGCTAGTTAATTAATTCCCCAACTCCATAATACCAAAACCTGGAGAGATGAGCCTTCAAGAGTGGCCAACAAGACTATGGCAAAAATTGTTCCTTGAGGTACAATTAGTTGACTGTTTAGAACTCCCCAAAGCCATATTGATTAGAAGAAACCTAAAATAAGAATGATTTTCCCAGTATCTCTCCTAAGGGCAAGAAGAGAGAGAAGAGAGAAGAGAGAGAGAAGGGGGGGGGGAGAAGAAGAATATCTCAGGGCCTAGCTGTTATTACTATCTCTGTTTAGAACAGGAACATTCACAAATTCAGTCTCATCACTTTCCTGCCTCAAGGAAAGTGGAAATTTGGAAACAAAACTCCTTCATGATCAAACTTGACTCAATAGAAAGTCTGTGCTGAATGATTTGTGATGAACTTGGTTTGGCCAATCTGCAATGACCCGTGAAGAAAGACTCAGGAAAGCTTCCAACAGTAACTTTCCATAATTTCTCTCTGTAAAATTGTATACACTAGAGTGGGAAGAAAATCCACCCTCCATGTGACCTTTACTCTGCTTCTTACCTGGTTTTCAATGAACCCTGGGCAGTTAAACAAAAGATGTTTAAGCCTTTTGATACCTAGGCTGAAACTAACAGAGCACATTTTACAATACATAAGTGAAATTGGCAAATATCAGCAAT